GGAAGGAGGAAATTGAGGTCCACCTGAAGGGGCGCACTGAGGAATTTGCGGATTTTCTGGAAGACAAAATCGCTCGACTTTGTTCCCAGTTAGATGCTGGCATAGTTGCTGATCCAGTGGAAGCTCCTGAGGCAGGTTCTTGCCCTGTTATCTGGGAACGGTTTGACCCTGTTTCTCCTGAGCGACAGGATCCTAGGGAGTAAGGGCACGAGCACCTGTATTTTAGACCCATGTCCCTCCTGACTTGTGAAAGCTTCCCAGGAGGTGACAGGCAGGTGGACTCTGGCGGTGATTAATGCTTCTCTAGAGGAGGGGACGGTGCCCCCAGCACTTTAAGGAGGCTGTGGTCCGCCCTCTTCTTAAGAAGCCATCGCTGGACTCCACCCGGTTGGATAATTTCCAACCTGTCTCCAATCTTCCCTTTTATGGGAAGGTTGTTGAGAAGGTGGTCGCGCAGCAGCTCCAGAGGTTTCTGGATGAAACGGGTTATCTCAACCGCTACCAGTCAGGATTCAGGCCTGGATTTGGGACAGAAACGGCATTGGTCGCACTTTTGGATGATCTCTGGCGGGAGCGGGATGGGGGTAGTGCATCCATCCTTGCTCTACTTGACCTCTCGGCAACTTTTGATACCATTGGCCATGGGATTCTCCTGGGACGGCTTCAGGGGATGGGAGTGGGAGGCCTTGTGCTGTCTTGGTTCACTTCCTTCCTCTGCGGCCGCTCTCAGTCAGTGTTGATAGGAGGGGAGAGATGCAACCCTCGCCCGCTGCTTTACGGGGTTCCACGGGGCTCTGTACTCTCTCTGCTCCTGTTCAACATTTATATGAGTGAGATCATCCGTCCCCATGGACTGAGGTGTCACCAATATGCTGATGATCCTCAGCTGATGTCTCGGCCCGTGGTGAGTTAAGTGTTGCTGTGTCCTCCCTCTTGCAATGCCTGGAGGCTGTTAGGGGCTGGATGGGGAGCAACCGGTTGAAACAAAACCCATGCAAGACCGAGTGGCTCTGGGTCTGAGGCTCGTTGGTTCAGGGAGAATTACCACCTTTAGTCTTGGGTGGGGTGGCACTACCCCAAACAGACCCTGTGCGTAATCTGGGGGTTCTCCTAGACTCACGACTCCTGTCCGAAGAGCAGGTGGCGGTTGTGACCAGGAGGGTCTTTGCGCAACTGCGGGTTGTGCACCAGTTACGCCCTTTCCTGGATCAGTGGCCCCTACTCACAGTCATTCATGCCCCAGTCACTTCCCGTCTTGATTATTGCAACGCACTCTACATGGGGCTGCCCTTGAAGAGCATCCGGAAGCTCCAGTTAGCGCAAAATGCAGCGGCCCACATGGTTTTATGCAGACCCCGGTGTGCACATGTGTCACCTCTCCTGCAGGAGCTGCACTGGCTGCCAATTTGCCTTCCGGGTGCAATTCAAGGTGCTGGTTGTCCCCCTTCATGGCTTGGGGCCAGGTGATCTGAGGAAACATCTCTTGCCAGTCACATCCACCTGACCCATTAGAGCGAGGAGGCAGGGAATGTTGTGGGTCCCACCCCTGAGGGAGATACACCTGGTGGGACCCAGAAGAAGGGCCTCCTCCGTGGTGGCTCCCTCTCTCTGGAACATCATTCCCCCAGAGATTAGAATGGCCCCCTCACTAATACTCTTCCGAAAGGCACTTGAGACCTGGTTTTGCCAGCGGGCCTGGGGAACCCAGAGAGGGATGGAGCCCATCAGGTGGCTCGTGCGATCTTCTGTCGTTGGGGTGGGAGGGTGGGAGTTTGGTTTTTGATTTTCTGCTTTTGTTCTGTTTTGTTTTTGTTTTTCCCAAATTTTGTTCTGTTGTACTTATTTCATTCTTTTTGTTAGTTCTTATTATTTTTATTTTTTTGTTTTAAATATGATTTTACATTGTGTAAGCCGCCTTGAGTCGCCATGGGCGAATAGACGGCAATATAAGTTAAATAAAATAAATAAATAAATCTTAGATTTTCTTTGTTTATTATCTGTACCGAGTTTGGGCCTCAATAAATTGAGCTGAATTGACTTCCCTATCTATACTAAGTGAGCACACAGTACAATTTCGAACTCATTCCTTATCTAAAAGGAAACCTTTCTTGAACCTTCACGGCCTTGAGCTTTTCTCAAGATGCGTGTCTGGCCAGGTGCGTGATTATTTTTTTCTCCTCTGATCCTTCCAACTTTGTCGTTGTTTTTTTTTTTGTTTGTTTGTTTTTGTTTTAAAGCCACGAGATCAGCGAGGGAATAATCTGCCTGTCCAGAAGGCATTGTCACAAGCCAGGTGAGAAGGGCAAGGGCGGAGCCATGTTGGATGCTCAGGCCGAAGGAGAGAAGAAACTAGGCGGCCTCCTGGATGCGATGCAGATTCTGGGAGAATTGTCTACGGAGACTAGAACGACTTCGAGGGAGGAACCAAGAGTCCAGTCTAGTTTTCTTCCATCTCAGGGAAGGATAGCTGCTTCCGCGGACGCATCTCAAGAGGTTTTGACTTTTCTCCTAAAACGGGTTTCTCTTCCTTTCTTCCTCCTCTTCTCCTCCTCCTCCTCCCTCCTCTTAAATCTACTTTTAAAAAACTTCATTTTGCAGGTAGCCCTTGACGTACCACAGTTCGTTGCAAGTGTGAAAAATGGTCATAAGCCGTGGTGGGATTCAATTTTTTTTACATACCGGTTCTGTAGGCGTGGCTGAGTGGGCATGGTATGGCTTGGTGGGCGTGGCTTGGTGGGCGTGGCAGGGGAAGGATACTGCAAAATCCCCCTTCCCTCCCCACCCCACTAACCTCCTTTCCAGCTCTGTTCTCCTGTGCAGGGCAACCAAAGAAGACCTAGCCAGTCAGCTGGGACTCAATGGGAGGCGGAGAAGAGATGGGGTTGGTGGGGCCAGTCAGAGGTGGGATTTGCCGGTTGTCCAGACTACTCAAAATTTCTGCTACCGGTTCTCCAGAACTGGTGAGAACCTGCCACTTCTGGTCAAAAGGCACCTGTTTCACTGCTGTTGTAACTCCCTTCTCCCCTCCCTCTTGAGCCCATTTTTAAAAACGTTATTTTTGCAAGCAGTCCTCGACTTAACAGTAGTTCAGATTGGCTGTCCAGAGTTGCAACAGCAGTGAAAAGAAGTGACATGGCCATTTTTTTCCCCACATAACAACCACTGCAGTACCTGATTAAAATTCAGACACTTGGGAACTGACATATTCACACTGGAGGCTTTTAAGAAGAGACTGAATAGCCATCTATCAGAAATAGTATAGGTGATGACCTAGATCAGGGATCCCCAAACTTGGCAACTTTAAGACTTGTGGACTTCAAGTCCCAGAATTCAGATACAGATAATCAGAGTTGGAAGGGACCTTGTGGGTCATCTAGTCCAACCCCCCTCCACCCAAGCGGGAGACACCATTTCTGGCAAATGGCAGTCCAATATCTTCTTGAAAGTCTCAAGTGATGGCGCTCCCACAATTTCCGAGGACAACTTCTGTTCCATTGGTTGATTGTTCTCACTGTCAGAAAGTTTCTCCTTGTTTCCAGGTTAAATCTCTCCTTGTTCAGTTTCCATCCATTATTCCTTGTCTGCCCTTCAGATGGTTTTAGAAAATAGCTTGACCCCTTCCTCCTCCCTGTGGCAGCCCCTCAAATATTGGAAGACCGCTATCATGTCTCCCCTGGTCCTTCTCTTTACTAGACTAGCCAAGCCCAGTTCCTGCAACCGTTCGTTGTATGTTTTAGCCTCCAGTCCCCTAATCATCCTGGTTGCTCTTCTCTGTACTTTTTCTAGACCCTCAACATCCTTTTTTATAATGTGGTGACCAAAACTGGATGCAGTACTCTAGGTGTGGTCTTACTAAGGCTTTATAGAGTGGTATTAGTACCTCCCTTGATCTTGACTGTATCTTCTGTTAATACAACTTAGGATTGCATTAGCTTTTTTGGCTGCTGCTGCACACTGCTGGCTCATATTTAGCTGGTTGTCCACTAAGACTCCAAGATCCCCCTCACAGTTACTGCTATTGAGCCTGGTTTCACCCAGTCTATATGTGTACTTTTGGTTTTTCTTGTCTAAGTGTAGGACTTTACTGTTCTCTACATTGAATTTCATTTTATTAGATATGGCCCAGTGTTCTAGTCTGTCAACATCCCTCTGGATCTTGAGCCTATCTTCTTGGGTGTTAGCTATTCCTGCCAGCTTAGTATCACCTGCAAATTTGGTAAGTTCCCCTTCTATTCCCTCATCTAAGTCGTTAATGAAGATATTGAAGAGTCCTGGGCCTAAGACGGAACCTTGTGGCACCCCATTGCTTACTTCCCTCCATGTAGACTTAGACCCATTAAGGACTACTTGTTGAGTATGGTTTGCCAGCCAGTTGTGAGTCCATCTAGTGGTGGTGCTATCTATTCCACTTTTTTCTAGCTTACTAAGAAGTAGGTTGTGGTCTACTTTATCGAATGCCTTGCTGAAATCTAAATATATTATGTCCACAGTATTTTGCTGGTCTACTAATTTAGTCACTGTGTTGAAGAATGAAATAAGATTGGTTTGGCATGATCTGTTCTTAACAAACCCGTGCTGACTGCTAGTTATTACTTTACTTGTTTCTAGATGTTGGCAGATCTGTTTTTTTATTATCTTTTCCAGTATCTTCCCGGGTATTGATGTTAGGCCGATTGGTCTATAGTTTCCTGGGTCTGTTTTTTTTTCCTTTTTTGAAGATGGGAACCACATCAGCTCTTTTCCAGTCCTCTGGTAGTTCCCCAGTGCTCCAAGATTTTTGAACGATATGGTGCAGTGGTTATGAGATGACCTCTGCCAGCTCCTTTAAAACTCTGGGATGTAATCCATCAGGCCCCGGTGATTTGTTTTCAAGATCAGACAGGTGTTCTCTTACTATTTTTTTGCTTATTTTTGCTTTTATTTCTGGTCTGTCTTTTATAGTTATGTTTTTGGTGGGTTGAGCTATAGTTTCTTTTTGCGTGAAGACAGATGCAAAGAATGAGTTAAGCAGTTCTGCTTTCTCTCTGTTGCCTGTTACTTCCTTGCCATCTTGTCTCTTTCGTGGACCGACTGTTTCCTTGATTTTTTTCTTGTTATTGATATGTTGGAAGAAACTTTTTTTATTATCTTTGACTTTTGTTGCAAGTCTTTGTTCGTTCTGAGCCTTTGCTATCCTGACTTCGTCTTTGCAGATTCTGGCTATCTGCTGATATTCTGCCTTAGTTGTATGTCCTTCTTTCCATTTTTTGTACTTGTCCTTTTTTTCTTTCAATTTGCCAGAGAGATCTTTGTGTAGCCATGCTGGTTTCTTCTTGGATATCTTGTTTTTCTTTCTCAGTGGTATTGTGCTGGTCTGGGCTCCTATGATCATACTTTTTAGAGTTTCCCAAGATTCTTGAGTTGTTTTCCCCTTTAGGATTTTCATCCATGGTATCTTTCCCAAGTTCTCTCTGAGTTTATTGAAATCAGCTCTTTTAAAATCCAAGCCTCTGGTGTCATTATGTTCTGTTGCTTGTATTTGTGTTATGTTGAATTCTAGTATGACATGTTCACTCTCAACCAAGGTTCCTGCAGTTTCAACTCCCTCTATCACTTCTTCTCTGTTTGTAAGAATTAAATCCAGTATGGCTGTCCCTCTAGTTTCACCCTCTACCTTTTGGACAACAAAGTTGTCAGCTAGGTTGGTTAGGAACTTATTTGATTTCTCACTTGGTGCAGAATTACTTTTCCAATTGATATCAGGATAATTGAAGTCTCCCATTATTATTGTTGTGTGTTTCCTGCATATGTTTGTTAGTTGGCTGGCAAAAAGGACATCTATTTTTTCTGCTTGATTGGGTGGCCTATAATATACACCTATGGCCATTCTTTTTCTCTTTTATATTGACCCATATGCACTCTAGGAGATTTTCATGCATTTCTGTAGCACTATAGTGGTCCTTTACATACAGTGCAACTCCACCTCCACCAATTCAAATGTAGGTTTGCAAAGCTGGCTGAAGAATTCTGGGAGTTGAAGTCCACAAGTCTTAAAGTTGCCAAGTTTGGGGACCTTTGACATAGATGACTTCCAAGATCTCTTCCAATTCTATTATGATCTATTTTTATCGTAACCTGCGAAAAATGGCCCTAAGTCACTTTTCTCAGTGCCATTGTAACTTCGAATGGTCACTAAATGAACTGTTGCAAGTCAAGGACTACCTGTAACCATGGAACTTTGGTCGCTAAATGAACCATTGTTAAGTGGAAGACTACCTTTTTCCCCCCAAGTTTTTTTTATATAAATATCAATGCGTGAACTATGTAGCACCTGAGTGTCATACATTTTGATACAGATAAAATAGAATTAATCATATTTGTTTCATTTAACAAGCTTATATAATTCTAGTAATAATACACATATTTTTATTAAATTATAATCTTTCATTATTTAGTCATTCAGTGTTTCAATGTGTCATTTTTATGCCAATCACCCTATTCTAAGTGTCATACCTTTCAATACAAATACAATATTATTAATCATTACATTTAGCAAGCTTATATAATTCTAATAATAATAATACAAACATTTACGTTAAATTAAATCTTCCAGTATTTGCTTGTTCAACTTATAATCCTTCATTATTTGGCTATTTAGTATTTCAATGTGTTATTTTTATGTCAATCACCACATTCTGCATGTCATACATTTTAATACAAATAAATTAGAATTCTTTGATTGGCCAAGTGTGATTGGACAACCAAGGAATTTGTCTTGGTGCAAATGCTCTCAATATACATAAAAGAAAATATTTTTTAATCATATTTGTTACATTTAGCAAACATACACATATTCAAAAGGTAATGGGGGACTACCTTTTAAAAGCACATGCTTTAAAGAAGCACTACCCTTATGGCATCTCCAACCAATTGCTCTCTTAGGCAGTTTTTTTTCTACGTGAACATAATGCTTCCCAACCTTCTGTTCTTAAAATCTTCCAGTGTTGGAGCATTCACAACTTCTGGAGGGAAACTGTTCCACTGATTAATTGTTCTAACTTTCAATAAATTCCAAATCTAACTTTCAATAAATTTCTCCCTAAGTTCCAGGTTGCTTCTCTCCTTGATTAGTTTTCATCCGTTGTTACTTTCTTGTCCAGCTTTCTGGTGCTTTGCAAAATCAGTTGACTTTGGTCTCCCTTAACAGGATTCCTTAAAAAGGAAGCACTCGAAGCATCTGTCTGGAATTTGCAGCCTGGCCGAATTCAGGCAGGAAGGCACCATGAAAAATTCCACAGTCCTCCCAGGTCACTACTTCGAGAAAACCACCATTCCCAGACCGCTGGACAATTTCCTGACCTCCCACACGGAGCATCCACTCAATGTTTGTCATAACAGTTCTCCCAACTCTGCCTCGAGTCGGGGCGCGAAGAAGAATGATTCAACAGTCCGACATGCGGTCAGTTCTGGAGATGACCCCTTGACCAAGACGGTCCTGGAAAGGCCAGTGGAAGAAAAGAAAATTGCGCCTGGCTATGAAAAAAGGCGCCCTTTGGATGTTTTTCAGACAGAAGCGGCAACGGAAAACCGGTGCGGTGTGAAGTCCTCACAGAAAAACGAGGCCTCGTTTACAGATGCCAGGTCAGCTCCCAGTGGGATTTCTGTTAAGTGAAGCCCTTTTTTTAAAAACTGTAGGTTTGCATGGAACACACCTGGCCAAGAATTCACACACAGCTGTGCATGAACATTGTGGGAAATATTTGTGTACGAAATGCTTGAAGCCGTTAAGTTGCTGCAGTGGTTCATCCCTGGCTGCCACTAACTTTTCTGACTCAGGTAGTCCTTGGCTTATGACCAACAGTTGAGCCCAAAATTTTTGCTGCTAAGCGAGACAGTTGTTAAGTGAGTACTTCCCCGTTTCTTGCCACAATAAGCAAATAGTTGCAATTAAGTTTGTCACACAGTTTTGAAGTGAATTCTGACTTCCCCGTTGATGGCTTGTAAGAAGGCCTGGAAAAGGGGATAGCAATAGCAGTTACACTTATATACCGCTTCACAGTGCTATTACAGCCTTCCCTAAATGGTTTTCAGAGTCAGCTTGTTGCCCCCCAACAATCTGGGTCCTCATTTGACCTACCTTGGAAGGATGGTACATCAAGGACCCCACATTCCTCCTCCTCCTCTTCCTCCTCCTCCTTCTTCTCCTTCTCCTCCTTCTCCTTCTTTTTCTTCTTCTTGCTCTTCCTCCTCTTCTTCCTCTTCTTCATATTCTTCTCCTCTTCCTCCTCTCCAGAAACCCCACTCCCTCCTAGCACTGATGATGTTCCCTAGTTGGGTCATGAAACATCTGCAAGAAAACCACCAAACTCAGAGAATATCAAGGACCCCACAGTCGTCTTCCTCCTCCTCCCTCCTCCTCCTCCTCCTCCTCCTCCTCCCCCCCCCCCCCCCCC